GCCAAGGGCCCCCGCGCGGAACCAGCCCCCTCCAGCTCCGCCCCCGGCCCGGGTCCCAGCCCCACCCCTCCGCCCACCCCAACCACTCTACTCACGTGCCTCTCGCAGACCAATCATACTTCAGAACAAGTATCACGTGGGCGAAGAGCGAGTGAATGCCGGGCTGCTAAGCGCAAAAACCACGAGATCTTGGTAGAGTTCTCCTATCGCCTGCTATCCCGTGGTCTGGAGGTGCTGCAGCGCCGCCTTCTGCCTGGAGGCTCTTCTGCACTTCCCACCCATTGCTATGGATTCTTGGGTGTTTGGATCCTGGGCTTTTGGATGAGAAGGGCCCAGCCAAGTTCTATGTTTGCTTTTCTGCTTCTTTGTACTTTCTACTTACTACATCTGCATATGATTTAGTATCTCCTGCCTCCCATCCACTGAAAGCTTCAATTAAAAAAAGATATCATCATATTCCCCCAATACCTAGAATTTATGTAAAAATGATAGTTAATATTTAGATAAGGCTTACTTTATGTTAAGCACTTTTCTAAATGCTTAGCATATGAATTTAATACAGTAGCTTTGTATTATTTGTTATACATGTGAGGAAACTGAGGCACGATAAGTCAAGAGCAGCACAGAACCCAAGATCAAACAGTAAGTTGTCTTGATGTGTCAAAAAGCCAGGCAGCTTGTTATCAGTGTGTTGTGGCCCTGAGAGGAAACATCAGGTAGGGGATTTTAAAAGTCCAGCAAAAGCGTGGGAGTGAAAGGAAGGCTTGATGAAACATAATGGGTAGGATAGGTGCAGATCTTGTAAGTAGACGAGAGTGTATTTTTAAAAGGCAGTGGAAAGATAGAGAAAAATTTTAGAGCAAGAGATATGGTCAGATTAGCATTTTAGGACCGTTGGCTGCAGGACAGAACAGTTGCTTTTTGACCTATCAGGTTATGTTTGTTTGTTTGGTATTGGGGATCGAACTTGAGTCCTTGTACTTACAAAGCATGCAGCAAAACCACTGAGCTAAATCCCTAGCCCAGCAGTTACTTTTAAAGGAAGTCTTCCAGCAGATGATGGTGGTCTGTACTAGGATAGTGACTTAAGGATGGAGAGACCATTCTGAAATAACTAGGAAGTAGGGAGACTCAATAGCACTTGATGTGGGACTAGAAAATGTGAAACAAGTGTTAGGAATGACTTCTGTGTTTCTATCCTATGCAGCCACTATATTGCAGGAGGTAGCTACATTTGTTAAGTTCAGAAACACTATAGATTTGACCCAGCCATCCCTCTGTTGGGTATCTTTCCAAAAAGAATTAAAAGAATCATACCACAGTGATATATGCACACCCATGATTATAGCGGCACAGTTTGTAATAGCTAAAACTTGGAAACAGCCCATCTGCCCATCAGTTGGAAACTGGATAAAGATGATGTGGTTTTTCTATAAAATGGCATACTACTCAGCCATAAAGAATGAGAAAGTAGATTCATTCATAGGTAAATGGATACATTTTGAGGATATACTCCTAAGTGAAATAAATAAGTCACACATATGCAAATATCGAATAGTTTCTCTGGTGTGAAAAACTAAAATAGTACGCAAGATCCTAACGGGACAATTAGCAATGTAAAATAGGAAGAAAAGGACCAAAGGTGTAGGTGTGGGGATCATGAGTATTGGTTGTAAGTGTTGTCAACTTTAGTAACTCTATATGTGTTAAGTTTCTCCAGTTTAGCAGGTAGAGTGTTTCCTTTGTGGAATTCCTGAAAGCTACAGTTTCTTGTCTCTGACCTTTAGATGTGTGGTTGTCCGGGTTACTACTACTCACGGTGGGTTGTTTTGGTGAACCTGCTTGCTCTTTTCCTGTGTGACCTTTCAGTTACTATGGTAAACCCATCCCATAATAGTTTGTGGTTTTTTTTGCTTTAAAAGGCCGGTGCTTGCCAGCAATAAACGCCGCCTTGATCAGACTCTTGTCTTGGCGTCCTTCCTTTCTCTCTGCCCCATCTCCACCCTGCTGCTCTTTCAGGTTTGAGACACTGCTGGACAGTGCTCTGCGTCGCCGGCTCGCGACATGTAGGGACAGTGAGAAGGATAGGGTAAGGGTAATAAGGGAAAAGGAAAAAAATATGAGAAAATGTAAAAATGGAATTAAAGTGTTTGAAGGTGGGGAGGGCAGGAGGGGGTGAAGGGAGGGTGGGGACAATGGGAAAAAATGAAACCAAGACCTGGCATGTAAAGGTACAAGATCCCATTAATGAATGTAACTGTACTGTCTACCTAGAATGTACCAATAAATTCAATTAAAAAAAAACA